GTGTGTGTGTGTGTGTGTGTGTGTGTGTGTGTGTGTGTGTGTGTGTGTGTGTGTGAAGATCTGACAAGGTGCCAGGGCGCTCTCTCTCACACAAGGCTCTGCTCCATCCTAGGACCCTTCAGAGACCATGGTAGAGCCTGCACTCACACTGCTTCTCATTGCTTTGACAAGCCTGTGCCCTCTGTCCTAAGAAACTGCAGGTTTATAGCCCACATCCACCCTGCTCTAAGATGCAAGGAGTGAAGACACTTGCCACCCAAGTCTGATGACCCGAGTTTGATCCCTGGGGCCCACCCAGTGGGAGGAGAGAACCAACTCTCCCAAAACCTCTGTCCCTGAACTCCACTTGCCTGTGTACGTGCCTGCACATGCCCTCCAAGACACTGTTGATGGATACTCTGAAGAGACGGTGCCCAGCGGATTCAGGAATCTGGTTTTAGCAGATACCCTAGGGTTATTCTACTGCAGATAGACAGAGGGCAGCTGCGCTTTGAGCAGTGCTACCTGAAACTGTGGTCCTAGGGCGTGCTCAGTGAATGCCGTTGGCTAATAGTTCTTGTGAGGATCCCATGATCACAGCCATCCACAAGCTGCTTTGTTTGTTTGGGGGCAGAGTCATAGTTTATCAACCTAAATTATATTTTTGGTATGTTCCTTTTGTTTGTTTTTGTTCTCCAAGACCGGGTTTTTTGTGTAGCCTAGGCTGTCCTGGGCTCACTTTGTACACCAGGCTAGCCTCACACAGAGATCCACCTGCGTCTGCCTCCCTGAGTGCTAGGATTGCAGGCGTGAGCCACCACACCCGGCTTGGGTATGTTTCTGGAAGAAAAAATATTAAGCTTTTTCCTGCTTTTTTTTTTTTTCTCCTCGTGATACATGCCATCAAATATGACGGAATTAAAAAAAAAAAAAAGAAAAAGAAAAAAGCATTTTTCAAACTACCATAGTTCTTTCAAGCAAAATCAGGGTGAGAGATGAATGAGGGATGCAATTCAGTTGGTAGAGTGCTTCCCTAGCATGACTGAAGGCCTGTGTTCAGTTCTCAGTACCACAGGAAACTGAACAAGCTAGCACACACTTATAATCCCAGTACTCAAGAGGTTCAGGCAGAAGATCAGACATCCAAAGCCATTCTTGGTTTATACAGCAAGTGTAGACAAGCCTGGGTATGTGATACCCTATCTCTCAAAGGGAAAAAGGAAAGGGGGGAGGGAGGGAGGGAGAGAGGGAGAAAGAAAGAGAAAACGAGGAAAAGAAAAGTCAGGGTGCCTTTGATGGCTCATGTATGTAGTTGACTTGAAGCTGAGGTAGCAATATTCTAAGGCAAAGGCCACCCTGCGCTGCATGATGAAGACAATTAGAGTAAAACCTGCTCTTTATAGAAGAGTAGCACCGCCCTTGTCATCTGGTCCACAGCTTCTAGCAGGGAGCCACCCGCACAAACAAACCCACAGCTAACATCTGAATGTCTAAAAACTAGGCTCTGCCAGGCATGGTAGTCACACCTTTAATCCCAGCACTGGGGAGGCAGAGGCAGCACTCTGTGAGTTCAAGGCCAGGCTGGTCTACATAGTGAGTTCTAGGAGAGCCAGAGCCACATAATGTAGAAACCCTGGCTCAAGAGAAAAGGAAAGGAAATAAAATGTTAAATAAGGCCAGGCTGGGAAGGTCACTCAGAGGTTAAAAGCACATACTGTTCTTCAAGAAAATCTGAGTTCAGTTCCCAGCACCCATGTCCTGAGTTCACAGCCACCTGTAATTCCAGCCCCAGGGGATCCAACACGCTCTTCGGAACATCATCAGTGTTTGCATTCATGTATACATATTCCCCCTCCCAGCACACTCTCTCTCTCTCTCTCTCTCTCTCTCTCTCCATAATTATAAAAATAATTTTCAAAACAGAATTATTAAGATATTATGAAACAAATTGACATGAGCCAATGGCACATGCTCCTGATTGCCAGTGGCCCAGGTACGAAGGTCTCTAAGGAGACTAGTTGTGTGTTTGTGCTCACACCTCAGTTTCCCTCACAGTGTCCTTGGCAGTGGGGGTCATGTCTGCCAGGGCATCCAGAATTGGGCTCTGTTCCAGCTGCTAGGCCATCGCTGAGGATGCCTGTGAGGCCACAGAGAGAAAAAGGTCTAGCCTTCCTCGTGATGTCAGCACCGCTCAGTTTTCAGCATCTCTCTTAAGGCCAGGCACCACCCTGGTGCTGGGTTCTGAGAACTCAAACACAGAGATGTTTATAAAGATGTGGCCCTTCTTAGCCTGAAGGAAAAGTAGACCTATAAATCCATGGCTGTGGAAGGCTGGTCAGGGTAGCTAAATTCAGGGAGAGTGGGACTCTTGAACACATTGCCAAGGGCCAGACTTGGGGCAGGAGGTTAACTGGAGAAGTTAGTGGTGAGGTTTGAAAGAACTGGGCTAAGGAGGGTGGTATCCAAACCATCAACAATTTGTACAACACAGACTATAGCAGTTACTGTGGAGAGCTACTGTAAGCAAACATTGCATCAACAATCATTGACTATTGGTGTCAACCAGATGGAAACCAACCCAAAAATAAGTTAGGCAAAGTTGCAGGCAGGACGTAGTCAGAACAACACAATCAAAGGTCACGTGCCCCTTTCAGTTTTCTGATCTGCGAGTGGCTGAGTTCATTACCAGTGACTCTGCCCCTCAGACATGCGTGCTGCCACAAAACAAGGTATGCTGCCAGTACAGAGTATGACCTCCATTAACCAGGCAGGCATGGCGGTACTCCTGTACTACTGACCCTGGAGAGGTAGAAGCAGGAGGATCACTGTGAGTTCAAGCCCAGCCAGGATACAGTTCTGTCTCAAAAGGGAGGAAAAAAAGAGAGAGAGAAAATTGACAATGACGTTTCCAGATTTCTCACTAGGAGTCTGACTTGTTAAAATGGCATTCATAGCTTCGCAGTATGGAAGTCTTTCTTTCCAATCTGTGAGCCTCCGTTAAAATGAGAGTTCTCTCAGTGTCTGCTCTGGAATTAAACAGCATGTGCTGTGCTTTCAGGACACCTGCACCTGAGATTATGCCTTTGGAGAAAGGCTCTGAAGGATCGGGGCTTAGTGTTGTAAGGGGTTATGGACATCCACGCAGAAACCTGCCAATCTGTGTCAAGGCTGTATTTGCAAAGTTTTTTTTTTTTTTTTTCCTTCTGACCATGCTTTTTAAATCAAAGGTAGTGAGATTTTTAAGTGTGTTGTAGTGCTTTGCTGGGGGCTAAACTGGGGGAGGGGTGCCATTTAGATCCCATAGGAACCCCCCCCCCCAGGGAAGGAAGTGTAATGGTGGGATCCCAGGAAGCAGTTCTCTTTGTGCCTGAGAGAAGAAGCTGGCCGGTGCTCACAGATTTGAGGAACACCACCAGCAGCACCGCTCTGCAGGCTGACTCTGAGGTGCTGAGCTAGGCTGAAAAGGGCTTTGGCCTTGTCCTTTAAAAAGAAAAATGGAGGCTTCATGTGGTGATGTGCACCAATCCCAACACTCAGGAGGCAGTGACAGATGAATCTCTGTGAGTTCAAAGCCAGCCTGGTCTACATAGCGAGGTCCAGGACAGCCACGGCAAGGAGGTGCAGGGGAATGTCATGAAGCTATGAAGTGGCTTAGTGGGTAGGCGCCTGCTCTGTAAGCAGGGAGACCCGAGTTCAGATGGTCCACACCTACAGAAGGCAAGTGTCTGTAATCCCAACATTTCGGGGCAGAGACAGGCGATCCCAGCTTCTCAAGCCCGTCTAGCTGAGTTGGTGAGCTCCAGGTTAGTAAGAGACACTCAGCAAATAAATGCAGAAATACACAAGGAAAATGATAGAGGAAAACCCCCAACATTACCCTCTAGCTGCCACAAAAGCATGCACAGGCACTCACACAAAATTACATGTGTACACACACACACACACACACATCTCAGATCGCTGTGAGATTGTCAGCATAAGGCAGTTCTCTTGCCCACTCCTCTGTCAGGTACGTGATATGTTGCTCTAATACTGAATCATAGTGTGTCAGGAATTAAACACTGTTCCCAAACCAACTACCGACACACACCTGTCATCCCGGCACTCAGTAATCATTTTTAACTTCAGTGTGAGTTTTTAGTCTAGAACTTAATTTTGGGGACCCGTAAAAAGTACTTAGTATAAACATTGCAACTTTTTCTTTCACTTACTTGTTTGTGGGTTCTTTTTTTTTTTTTTTTTTTTTTTTTTTTGGTTCAATCAAGTTGTAACCCAGGCTGACCTTGAGCTGTGTAGGGAAGGGTGACCTTGCCTGAACTCTTTTTCTTTTTTCAGATTTATTTGTTTTTATGTATACTTGGTGTTTAGCCTACATATATGTCTATGTGAAGGAGTTGGACCCACTGGAACCTGAGTTACAGACAGTTGTGAGCTACCCTGTGGGTGCTGGGAATTGAACCCAGGTCCTCTGGAAGAGCAGCCAGTGCTCTTAGCCACTGAGCCATCTCTCCAGCCCGTTGCTTAAACTCTTGATCCCCCTGACCCTACCTGCTGAGTGTCAATTGCAGGCACGTGATACCACACCTGCTTCTTACCACTTTTTATCCATTTTTTAAATCGCAATAATTTATTCATTAATTGATCTAGTGGCTTTCTATGAATTATTTTCCTAAAGGTATAAAGATTCTTGATGAAAATATATTGTATGGCCAGATGCAGTGGCACTAACCTATAATCCCAGCACTCAGAGAGGCAGAGTCAGGAGGAGCTCTGTGAGTTCAAGGCCAGACTGGTCTACAAAGTGAGCCAATACTATACAGAGAAACCCTGTTTCCAAAAAAAAGAGAGAGAGAGAAAAGAAAAGAAAAACAAAACCAGACACCCACCAATGCACATAAAATTAAAAAAAAAAAGAATGAAAAAGACATACAACACT